TTATTAAAGAGAATGTGGAGTATCCTTGCAGTTACCGCTACGTCTGCTGGAATGTTGTCTGGTCCTGCTGCTTTGCCACTCTTGATTTGTCTGATGGCCATGCTGATTTCTTCAATTATAAAAATAAATAATTTTGTTCTAGCCGAAATTTATTTTCAGAGTTAGACAGGGTCAGCAGTGCTTCATTTAATTCTGGACTTGGGGCTTCATCTATATGAACTTTTGTTTCTTGATCATCTGGTATTGTCACAATTTCATGTGCATTTAGCAACATATTGTCTTGTTGTGAGCCGGAAAATTTACCAATATTACGTTTTGCTTCAGGTATAAAAGGATTTGAACCATCTACAGGGCATACTTCGGAAATGGCCGTTCCTGGACTATTTCCGCTTTTCAACGTACATATTTCACTCAATGGTACATCCCATAGATTTAGTTTATCTATCCAATTTATACCAATAAGGTCTAAATTATGCCGGTTCGTTAAATAACGATTCCCTGTAAAATAGTTACCCCGAAATTCAACAGAGCACTTTATCATTCCAACAAGCTTTAATATATCTCTGGATGCATTCCGTGCTGTATGCTCAGTTGGTAATACTTGTAGACAAAAGTATTTCCAGGAGTTGATGTTGAGAAGCTAACATCTACTGCTGTTGTTGCTGCAATATCAACCTGAAACTGTTCTAAAGAAATCGCCATTTTCTTACTGCTAATAATATTAACTCCAAAATCACCGGCAAATATTATGGCTTATTTCTTTTCAAAACCTGAGTCACCAATTGTTGTATTATTACTATTTTTTTCTCGCCAAAATCCCCATCGCCAATTGTTGTGACTTTATGCTTCATGATTATCGTGTAAAACACATCTAAGCAGCATATCTTAATGCGTTTAATTCCTCCAACTCGTAACTTATTGGGTTGATGATATTTATATGAAAGTTTTCAAACGTTTTCGTAAACTATCCAAATATCAATTACATATATAAAGGAAGACTAAGGAGCATATTACGTCGGCAATTGGAAGCAGACATAAAAATGAATAACAAGGACTGCCTGGGACATAATTTGATGGAAAATCCTGGTGGGTTACCTATGGTACTTCACGAAGGTAACAGATGTAAGTAGGTAATATGAGGGTGCAGTGTAATAAGATTTATTTTTCATGATAAAGTAAAAAATCTACTTTTCTTCCTTCTATAATCGTCGCTATATTGATTGCTTATTTAAATTTCATCTTAGATGTACTAAACCTGTTTTAATGCAACGAATATCGTAAAAGTAGGGACTGGTTTCCAAATTATTAATTAATTATACTTTTTTTTATATAATTACTGAGTAACTAAATTACTGTATCTATGTATTCCATTTATCATAGGCTTTTGTTTAACTTATTAACTACTATTATGCTACTTTCTTTCCCTAATTTATTCCCAGTCTATCACTTACAACTACCCCTATTCACAGCTACTTTTGACTTGTTCAAGTATAAGTTATTTCCCAGTTCAGGATATCTATATATCAATTACGTCTGGATGAAATACAGTTCATAGTAATAGCTGGTTGCTGACTTTTGAACTTAAGGTAAGGTTTAAGGGTAGTGGACTAACAGGAACTCAGATGGGTTAGCTCAAGGTCAATGGTGCTAATTAGACGTATGATAAGTCAAATCGAGTACAGTAGGCTATAGAAGAGATGATAGATTCAAAGTAGAGAAAAATTAAAATTCTGATTAGTGACTTCGTATGTAACACTCGTCATGCGGTACCATAACACGACAGAACCTGTAACTCATAATCATTTGAGTATTCAATAATTGAACTGTATTTCACAATCGTTTAGAGATCCCCACCATATTCAATGACTAATATTCTTTTCGATAAATTCTCTTCAACGCCTACAATTATATATCCAAATAATTAGTCCGAAAAATGGCCAGGTTGAGAGCAAAGTACATCATTTAAAGTATGTGAATTTAAGATTGTTTATATTGGCAGTATGACCAGTTTATAACTAAATGGGCCAATATCGAGCTGTTCACTTTCTTCATCAAACCTTTGTTTAGCCATGCTGGGAGGCGTTCACCAGCACGAAAATGTAAATTCCTAGAACTTCAACCACTATGACTTCCTCCACAGGAGCAGTCGAACTGATAAATACAAAATGAGGTGGTAATTCTAGGTAATTCATCTTTTAGCCTAGGTATCACCATTGGGTACGTGGAAAACACTAATCGCAGTTCTCCAGTGTTAGATTTTTATACTGTCCTGCGTAATCTCTGAGTTAATATTTCACTAGCCGCATCCCCTCTGAATTATAGGCTCATGAAGAACGATTTCTTCTTTACCGTTTGTATTTCGCCTATTTTCACCTTCATGATAATATATGTAATTATAAACCTTCTAGGGCAACCGTTTTCCCTAAGAGTATGCAAGGTGTTTGGCTCATCTTCAACTATATCCGCAGAACATATACTGCGTATTCGGTAACTAAGGATTTTGATCAAGTTTCGTTTGTACTGTAGAGGTACAAAACTAAGGAAATGCATATGCTGCCCAATCCAGATACTTTTTCTGTTTAAGTTCCTTTTTAACGATTCATCCGCTCGCTTAGTTAAGAGAACGTCCAAAAAGGCTATTCGACAATCACTCTCTTCTTCAGATGTAAACTGAGTGGCTGAATTCACTTCATTAAACCGCTTAAGAACCTCTTGCTGTGATGTATTATCTTTACAGAGGATGAACGTATAGTCGATATATCGACAGGAAAATGCAAATTTTTGAATAATCTATTTTAGCGGATCATTTTCTAGTTTGGCTAGGGCCTAGTGGTGAATCCATTGCCATACCATCTGTTTGTCCATATATTTCCCTACTGAACTCAAAATTCACATTCACGGTGCATTTGAGTAATAACTCTTTCATGACATTAATTGGTAACTGTGGTTTTAATTTCATTTTCCACCAGTTGTTCATCTATATATTCTACAGTCTCTATAAGTTGGACGTTTGTGAATAACGATATTACAACGAAAGACACCATCATCACTCTCAACTTATTTGCATCTTCTTTTGAATTAGTTTTTCATTATGTCTCTACACTAATATACAAGTATGATTTACAATGATCAAATAATTCTCATCGAATGGATACGTTACGTAATAATGACATAATGAAATATCGATTATAAATTAACATTGAGTAAGTGGAAGAGAGAGAAATAATAATAATCATCAAAGTAATTATTCAATAATCAAGAAGTTGCTACGTTGCATAATATATGAAAAAGAGAAGGAACAGAATATTTTAATGGATGGTCAGTAGTATAGTAGTTATGTAAGAATCAAGAGATGAATGTTGAGAAAAAGTGGGAGAAATACGAAAATAGTTTATCACTGTTCTGCTACAAATGCCCCTATATCGGTGACCAATGTATCGAGAATGGTTGTGCAAACTTCTTACGGATGCAAGGTTAGATTTGTGAACATGGATTGCAACGGCACTCATAAACCATGTGGCAAATTTGATGGGATATAGTAGATAACCTTAAAAGCTTTATTCAGTTCAACATGATGACCTGTATCCACCAAGTCAGAGAGAATAGAACTCTTAATTACTCTTACCTATCCTTTGCTCAACCACGATAGATAGTGCTCTGTTATACGATGACGAATTTCGATTATTATTAATCCTCTTTCTTCCAATTACTCAATGTTAATTTATAATCGATTTGCCATTATGTAATCGTTACGCAACATATTTACTCGATGAGTGTTATTCCATAAAGTCACTGACAAATGGACTGAGTCATGTTGGTAGGTGTAGACTACCTGATTGGGGTCCGCGAGATGGTAGCAATCGACGGTAAGAGACCTTGAAGACATGGCTCGAAAACGCTTGCAATGGCGCAAGTGCATCTACTCTTTGTGTTCTCTCAAATTCTAATGTTCTGAATTCTTTATGTCCCTTTCTTTTTTCTCTTTCCAAATTTATTTCACTGAATTATACTCTTTGAATAACATCTTCAAACCCTAATCTTTTCGATTACTACTTATACTCTTACCACCTCTACCACTACGGGATTCGAATCAACAACTGAATCTCCGTGCTAATGCGGTATGGCAACTGGAAATGATCTGCGTACGTACGAAGTTCTACGTTGTTACTGACTGACTGATTTCATTATTGTAAATCATAAATATATATTTTAGTGTAGAGCCATGATTAAAAAAAACTAATTGAAAAGAAATTTCTTCGCTCAATTCATTCCTTCTTTATTTATCAAATGTTAAAATAGGAATTTTCACTAAATTGGAATACATCCTTAACACTATATCTTATACACTTTTTCATGAAGAGAGATTTCAATATATAATTACCAATCACTTAGCTATATTATAATGAAGAGATTTTATTTTAACACATAGATATTGGTACAACGAGGCACCAAATACATGTGCACCACACAAATCTCATTTGATTTCTGTGAAGACTGGGATACTACCCGGATGCCCAAACCGAAGCACGTAGTTTTCTTAGGAGGCCACACCCGGAGCTTTCGACCCAAAGGTCTGATCCACAAGGCAGTGGAGCAATGTAAGGAGATACAGTCATATGGTAGCCCGTGACCAACGATTGGTTCATACACCATTTGTTCCCTCAGGATACTGGAGCTAATGTGCACCATTGTTTTGAAATCAAGGTTTTTTTAGCTCCTCTAAGTGAATCCTCCATATCCACAAAACCGATTAAACTACCGAACATTCGCTTTTCGTCCTCTTAATTTCGTAAACAACACCCCCGCCACAAGAAGGCAATGAGTAGAACTTCCCTGGTAGAGGCTATATACGCGTGGTCATGTGAGAGTATTTGGAGACGGAAAGGTGACAGTCCCACTCTCCGCACGTACCAGACCATTTGGGGGCTAATATATATATAAAGAGAGTTCATACATATCTACAATTGATTTGAATACTTTTGATCATTTATATCCATTTTGATAGATAAGTTTTCATTGGTCAAATATAATAAATAAATAAAACAACCATAATGATTTACATCAATTTTACAATAAAATATCAAAAATACCTTGAATAGGTTGTTCTATAGTTTCAAAAAATTTTAAAATATGATTTTTATGCGAATATGGTATTAAATAATTTAATAAAATAGATTGTTTTTTAATTAAATGATTATGATTATGATTCGATTGACAAACGATTATTGTATGATGATGATGATGATGATTATTTCTAATTGGTAAATAACGACGTGATAGAATATGTTGTTGATATGTTGGCCAATAATCAATTGATTCTATTATGAATGTCGCCGATGATGATCGTGATCGTGATGATGACGATAATAATAATGGTGATGTAGATTGAATAGTTTTCTCCTCTTTTAATTGTAATGTTTCAATAGTCGGTATATTTGAATTGAGAGTATATTTATTATCACATTGATTAGTAGTGTTATTAATATCATTATTAGACAAGGAAGATACAAGATTTATACTATGTAATTGATGATAAGATATATTCTTACGATAGTTCAGTATTTTTCGCCACCAATGTTGAATTCGACATGCAGCAACTTTATATTGTAGGCATCTTTTAAAAACTGAAGAGATCAAGAATAACAGACGAAAACATATGATCGAGAAAAGATGGATTGGCATAAGTAACATAAAATAGGAATCATATTCGTGAACATATTATCGATCAAAATTAAAAATAAAAACAACGTTTTGTTTGTTAGTTTGATCTAAGTTACTTCAGCGAAAATTCAGATCAGATTGACGAGCGAAACGTTGGGTTATTTTTAATTTCGATCGATAATATGTTCACGAATATAATTTCTTTTGTGATGTTTTCCAAACACTCGATGCTCAACTACTCGTTCAAATTTAGATGAAGATTCACATAACACAAGTAACTCTTATTAAAAACTAAACTTTTATTTTAAAAAATAGTATCAACTATTCGATATGTATGCTTGAATGAACAGCTACAATGTATGATCATCGTTTAGGAAATGTTGTGCTCAGGGGATGTACACAAACAGTTCACCAATAAATTTTCTGACAATGATACAGTGTGATTACTCATGTTTGGATTCCATAACGTCCAACCTATTCCTATTCCAGTCAACATTGTAAACCTTGATAGATGTTTTAGCATACATAACACACTCCAAATACCAAGATTGATAAAGACTTAAAACTCAACAAACTAGTTTGTCATATTTACCTGGTATCTTACATCTAACTTCAGCACTATTCACTTGACCTTTACATCATACACAACCAATGTCGATCAAGTACTTATAGCTAACGAATGGTTCCAGTATCCTGTGGAAACAAACGGCGTATGAACCAATCGTTGGTCACCGACTACCATGGGACTGAATTTCCTAAAGTTTCTCCACTGCCTTATGGATCAGACCTTTAGGTTGAAGGCACCGGGTGTGACCTCCTAAGAAAACCACCTGCCTCGGTCTGGTCACCCGGGTAGTATCCCAGCCCTCACATAAACTGAATGATTTTTACATGGCGCATATCTATTTAGTGCCTTCTTGTACTAATGTTTATGTGTTTAAGTGAATGAATAAAAGATAGAGTTATTACGTAACAACAAATGGTAAGCCAATTGTATATTGAGAGTTAGAAATTATGTTGAAACTTCACCCAATTGTGATGGGTTATAAACAACATATAATATTAGAATATTGACTATTACGCTTATAAGTCTAATAATAGATATGGATTGTTAAAGTTTAATTATATAGACGAAGAATCAATCAATTTATTACATCATCTAAAGTCGGATTGGCTTATTTCACGATGGTAAGCGGGTTGATGAAATTATCAACCATTATTAGGATATTGCAGTTGTAATATTTGATACATATATCTAATCACCCTTAATATACAGACATTATCTCAATTAACAAACATCTGAATAGAGTGTGAACTATTATTAAGCAATGGAGTGACCAGTGGTTTACAAGTTGATTGACTAAAATGTTAATTTGAACTATATTTGAATGTACATAAATGGCCTAGTTACAAGTTATAGTCCAATGAATAACCTTAATTCATAATTAGAGAATATCAATGAAATCGTACAAAATCAATGGAACTGGCACAAATGTAGTCATTATTTTACAATTCATTTAGTTAACTTCATATTTGGATGAGGTTAGATGTGAGAATTGTAACATTTTGTTCCAGGATATATTTTCTGCAGTCTCCAAATGTTCCTTATGACTGACTAACTGATTGGATGCACAAAATATTTAATATTTCATTGAGCTCATGAGTCAATTAAAGCTAGACCACTATTGACAACCTGCAAGTATTGGACGTCCGTTTCGCCCCGGTATGCGACTCCTCAACAATACACATCAACGACCTCGGATTTGGGAATCGAACACAAGTTCGCCGGTCACGTATGCGAACGCCTACCCTTAACACAGCCGAGCTAGCATCCAATGGAGTTAATATCTAATTCCAATCAATCCATAACAATGCGCGACCAACTGTCATTGGTGATCTAACATTGGTCAAGTTCATGGATTCAATAGTCTCCACAATCCAATACAGGAAATTATCATGTGTTCATTAGCGTCGAGAGGAAATTTCCGGAATTCTAGTGAGAAGCTATGACCGATGGAGCTAACAGGTGTCGGGTGTGAAAAATTTACCCACCGAAGATGGTTGAGCAGTGTCTTGGATTAATTAAAGTTAAACACTAACATCGTTGGATGCCCGCGCAGTGGTATAAAGATAGAGCATTTACACACGAGATAGAAGGTCCCGAGTTTGATTTCCGCTGAGGAGTTTTATACTAGAATGAAACGGCTGTCTAGTTCTTCCAGAATTTCGATGGTGGTCTAACATAGGCCGATTTATGGTTTCAATGAAACTCGACAATCCCATACTGAAGAGTTAACATTCATAATAATAACAATAATAATAAATATAAAATAATTTTAATAGTTGAGATGAGTCAGCTGAAGCTAGACCACCATAGAAAACCTGGAAGCACTGGACGGCCGTTTCGTTCTAGTGAGAAGCAGTGACCAATGGAGTTCAACTGGGTCTTTTGTAAGATAGTATCTCACTGAATACAATAGTGAATGTGTCGCTCAATTTCTTGGATTAGTTGAATTTAAACATTAACACAGTTTTATAACAGCCGGCTCAGTGGTCTAGAGGTTAATCGTACGCACGTGAGACCGATAGGTCCTGGGTTCGAATCTCGCGAGATGGAATCGTGGATGCGAATATTCACATAAATAAAATGTAACTTACAACGTTGTATCACTTTCACATTACGATTTAACATGAATTCTTTCAATGTAATTAAATGTTGAAATTGACTTTTTGTTAAATGAATACATGTACGACCAAATTGATGAATAATTGGAAATTGTATAGATATTTGTTTAGAAATATCTAAATTCTCTTTATTTAAAACTGATGTGTCATAACAACCATGAATTGGAATTAGATTTAATCCAAGTGTTAACATAATAAGAACAAATTGTTGTTGTTGTTGAATGGTTGATTCACCTTTAAAAAAAAGAAAGAACATTGTTAAATTATTCTTCAATATGCCAAAACAAGTAACTAAGTATATATTCATGCTGAGATAATGAAGAAAATTTGTAGCTCAGATGGATGATTTTGATAGAGTATTGTTCTCTGAGCTCGATGGTTTGGTTATGAAGCTTCCATCGGTCATTTGAACGACATCAGCACAAACTTCAGACTTCTACTTGATGATGTCGCTCAGAGAACAAAACTTCATCATATATTCATGCATTTCATAGACGAAACTACTTTCTATGACCTGAAAAGTTTAATTGTTAAGTCTTCTTTATCAATGTTTTTTCTCTCGAAACAATAGATTGATATAATCAAATGGTGATGACATTTTCTCTTTTCTGTAATAGTTAATGATATCATTTAGATGCTCAAATCAGAATAAATGGAACAAAGTTCGAATCTGAAATTGAATATTCGAATGTAGAGTTGTTTAAAACATTGGACAATCCACTCTATTCGTTGATATGATTACGCTCATTTAATACAATAATCGATAAAGATTTGTACTGATAACAATAAACTTACCAACAGAACCATATATTTCACTAAATCACAAGATACCAGACAATGAAGTTTGATATGTGATTGTCAAGAATTGATATTTATGAACAATATCATTGATTATAAAAGTTAAAATGTTGATTTCTACTTTAGCCACCTTCTATACATGTGCACCAGAGTCCTATGATGTTTTACTTAACTGAATGACTAACTATTATTAACAAAAGATTGTAGGAAAAGAAGTGAATAACAACTGATTCCAATCCGAAAAGATCAGTGATAACGTCTCTAACGATGAAGCTGGGTGATATGGAATAGAATCTACCAGACAGTATCAATTTTCTTAAGATTATAGGCATATCATGATGATGAGTGGCAACTAGTATGAAACCTAGGTCAAGGAAAGCTTCCTATCGACTACCTCCAATAACCACCTTATATTGTCTAAAAGGTAATGAAAAAAAAACACCATACATAATTGAAAAATACAAGTAGCTGGAAATCACTTACATTACTCTGCAATGCTCAAACATTACCAAACTTACTAACAACGACTATAAACCGTTGGTATGAAGTGAATTATTGTAATTTCCAAAAACGGAACTCCATTATGGATGTTTGTATTTTTTTATGTTTTAAATTGGTAATTATCTACACGATGGTGTAGTTATTAAGATATTACCAAGAGTATTTTAAAGAGATGACTAGAACTGATTTATGTGGAAAAACAACAATTCACTGATAAAGTTTTCATTTTCCTCTGGATATTCGACTCTACATACGTTCTCAGTTCTTCTTAAACTATATAGATTCATTTTCTTCATTTCATTCAGTCATCTTAGTTTAGCATGGCAACTTGAGCCAACGTTTACCTGTGTCACACTATATGTTCATTGTGATTAACTGATAAAGTCAGTTTGCATGATTTAAGTACCTATTAAATGTTCATATAAGTCAAAGTTAATGGTGGGGATAAGGATTTTATCCTCACTATTCACATAATTTAGTAATAAATCTTAACTAATTAACCATTACTCCAATTATCTTAATACAATACACGAACATCATAGTTACTTGGAATCTTCTTAAGCTAATCACTTCAAAGAACAGCAGCTGTTAAATGTTCCTTGGGTTTCCAGCTGCTGCTGTTAATCTGTAGTGAACACCTACGTAAAGTTAATATGAAATTACCATGACTCTGACCCATACATTAATAAAAAAATGTTTCACAGAGATTGTTCAAGTTAGAGATAGATCGCTCTACAGATTAATATTCGTTGAGCATACCACTTAAAACTACATAGTATTAAGTAGGAATTTTGTATTGTTATGGTGATCTTTAACAATATATACCTAGAACTGAATTAAAGATTTTCAGGACTCAAAAGATAGTGCTTTAACTTCAGAAGAATGAGTTAGCATCTCAGGATTTATATTTCCAATTTTACATTAATTCACAGAGGATCATGGATGCACAGCGCTGTGAAGTTTTACATCAGTGCAAAAAATATATCCAGTACCCCTTGGTTCTTCAGAGGACTTGTCTAACCGAGATATCGATTATTTCTGAAAAACAAAACATTACTCAAACAGAAAATGAATACCTAAAACAGCTTACTTGTTTCTCGACGTAATTTAAGTTGAGTTCGTTTAGATGTTGACCGAGTCAGTTGAATTAACTTAAGATACCATGAATTCAATAAAGAGAATTCAGTTTCCATTAATTGGTTAGCTGGTGGATGAGGATTTAATTGCCAAAATACTCTGTATTGACTGATAAACTCCTTGTACGTATACCTAACACAAAAAATAGACGTGTAATCCTAATAAATGATATATTATGTACATAGAAGTTGCTGATATGATAAGAATTAAGCCTAACTACTTATATCCTAATCTGTTGAAGAGTAAAGGAATTACAAAATTGTTTTCTTCTAATCAGTTATAAAATCTAATCATTTATATTCTTTTATTGGTAAATGGTTCATTCTAGAGATTTCGAGTTAATAATCAGATCTTATGAACAGGTGTCACACACAGTCACTTGATATTACTGCATATCGTTTATCAATCGGTATTCTATTCATTCACTTCAACAACCGCAAATGTGATATGTTCAAAATTTTCATCCAAAACACAGTTACTCATCGTTATCATTGTTATAAAAGGTTTAAAACATTTATCTTAAGTCAACTGGACATAGTTCAACGTTTTTTACTATCTATTTGGATAAATTTACTATTATAATTCTCTCTTATTACAATCCAGCTATTTCTATTGATTAGTATTCTCGGACACCAATTCACTCAACAAGTCCCCAAATCAGAACACGGTTGAACAGGAAAGAGATTATACTCCAAATAAAAAGGTTAGATGAAAGTAAGAAACACAATAGGAAAAACGTTAGTATATTTATAGTTTTTACATGAGAAGATTTCTAGATTGTTCTCAAAGTATCGGCTAGCACTGATTAGATAAGAATTAACCAATCAGCGTGGATCAAGGCAGTCGTGCATTAAGCACGCTTTAATCCAATCTGTGTCCCGCTAACATTTACTAGTGATGATATCTTGTTGATGAAGTATAGATAATGCAAGTCATGTTCACATACACACTCCGGTAGGTAAATCAGTGAAATAAAGATATAATAATTCTTTTAGTTATGTTCAGTTTTCTGGGTCAGAAAGTTGGATTGCGGAGTTTTAACTGCCTAATTCAGGCAGAAGTGAGCTTTTTAGAAGAAGACAATTCGTTTTGATTGCCCTTGTGTTTTCGTACACATGTTGACCGTCATTTTGTGTCGACTTCTGAAGTAGGTCCGGATAATGTTGTCGAGAACAAAAATGAAAGCTCAACAGTTTAAACCATTCAACTTCAGAGAACATAACATTGAAAAAAGTGAGCTAAAAATCCACAATCATGATAAAGCCTATCAGTACCTGCCAACACATATTGACACAATTGTAATATTCCTATTGATGAGTGATTTGCCCAAATCTCTTCCAGAAGATTAATGACTAATTGAAGTGTGGAATAATACCAAACCTCATAAAAACCATCTATGAAAGATTGTCAGGACTATGAAAAATCACTTCCCAACACATTACATTACATAAGAACAATTAATTTATAAAAAATCAATAATTACTTTGCATAGTATGTTGAACGTAAAACTTCTAATGCAGCTAAAAGACCACTAGTTAAAAGTTGATCTTGTACATAATTACGATCAATAATAGATAATGAGTTGATAGTTGTACAATTTATTCCAGAAGGTAAATCTGGTCGAATACAACGTATAAAAAATAAATTATGACAACTGAGACAATCAAGCAGTTGATCTACAGATGACTTTATTGAAGAAGACAAAAATAAATAAAACAAAGCAGTATGTTATTTAAATTCTCAAACAGTACAAGTAGCATATTTAAATTATAACTAAAAAGTCATTAGAATCAGGCAATGTACTGTAAATATCTACAACCAAATAGGAACCTGTTACATACTAGTGAAGATTATATTACGAGTAACGTCTTAGACCTTTTAATGGACTAATATCATCTATACATTCTTATAGTATAACTATTCAGTAAATAGATTATGGATATCTATATTCCCCTTATTATGATATTAAATATTATTCTTTAAGTTATGTTTAATTTATTGATCACAATCTCTTACGTTCACAGTCACTTTTTGGCTTTATTTTGTACAAATGTTATTTCCTATTTTATGATGTGATGTGGTCTGTTTGGTTGATATATAAACCCAATATAGTGAAAATTCCCATTTTGCCATTTGGTAAATAAAAAAGGAACGAATTGAGCGAAGAAATTTCTTTTCAATTAGTTTTTCATCATGGCTCTACAATAATAATATAATACTCATCGAGTAGATACGTTACATAATGACATTTAAATTAACATTCAGTAATTGGAAGAGAGAGGATTATTAATATTCAAAGTAATCAAGAAGTTGCTATGTTGCGTAATATAAGAAACAAAGAAGGAACAGAATTTTAACGGATGGTCAATAGGATGGTAGTTACGTAAGAATCGAGAGATGAATATTGAGAAGTTATTAAGTTCAAAAGCAACAGAAATAAAAAATTTTAAAAAAATGGAAGTATGAAAAATAGTTATTTTGAAGGAAATCTTAAACTGATGGCCAGGGCAGGGAAAGTGGTTGTACGAATCTCTTTTGGATGCAAAGGTCAGGTTTGTGAACATGGATTGCGATGGCTTCCGCAATGTGCAAGAGGCGCACTCGTAAACCATGTGGCAAATTAGATGGGATATTGTAGATAACCTTAAAAGCTTTATTCAGTTCGACTTGATGACCTGTGTCAACCAAGTGAGAGAGAACTTAATAACTTCTCAATATTCATCTCTCGATTCTTACGTAACTACCATCCTATTGACCATCCGTTAAAATTCTGTTCCTTCTTTGTTTCTTATATTACGCAACATAGCAACTTCTTGATTACTTTGAATATTAATAATCCTCTCTCTTCCAATTACTGAATGTTAATTTAAATGTCATTATGTAACGTATCTACTCGATGAGTATTATATTATTATTGTAGAGCCATGATGAAAAACTAATTGAAAAGAAATTTCTTCGCTCAATTCGTTCCTTTTTTATAAACCCAATATGTCTGAAATAAACGATTCGCATAGCGGAAGCTGTTATTGGTGTTCTGGACTTAATTGGACAGGCTAGGCGAGCAACGGAACAATAGGACGCTAGGCTGATCAGATCGTTTGGATGTCATTGGTTTAGTACAGTATAAGAGCGAATAAGTCGTATTTTGATTGGCGAATAGATTACGCGGGCCATAAAGACACAACAGAACCGACCAACTGTAAGCGTAATTAAGAAAAACAGAAAATTAAAAATCCTGATCACAATGAAAACAATCAGTAATAGTTGGTTGATATTATTATCCCAATTGGTTTAAAGTTGTGGTACCTTCAAACAACTTGTAGACAGATGATTAGAAATCATTCAAAATGAGTGTTTGATTCATTTGTTTATAGAAATGGAATACTGAGATGAAAATATATCCAGTGTGTGTATGTGTGTACACAGATTGACGATGAACTAAATGTTTATAGCAGTTACTTAGATTGATTTCATTAATTTATTCTAACAAGAACAAATTGGTAAAAAGAAAACAAATTCTGTACATAAAAATTTTATGTAAATGAAAAGGACTAGACATGTTGTGTTATTCAAAAAAATTTGGGCTAAATAATGATAAGGTTAAATTATATAAAATGATACGATTAATAAACTGTTTTAAACGGTTAGTTGTCATAAGGATTATAACAATATGAAGCATCCATTGAAATCTATTAATTCTTAGTAGGGAGAATAGGACTTTCTATAAAGAACACATTACGTCGAGAAATAAAGTAATGTAATGAACACATGAATAGGGTTATTTCTAGTAACATTACAAAACATTTATACCACAAGTTGAAATGATGAGTGAATTGAAGCTAAACCACCATGGAAAACCTGGAAGCACTGGACGACCGTTTCGTCCTGGTATGGGACTCCTCAGCAGACCGCATCCACGACACCGCACCTCGCGCGATTCGAACACAGCATCTACTGGTTTCGCGCGCGAGCACTTAACCATTAGACCACAGGCTACTAGGAGTAGGAGATATTCGTATTTGGCTCAACAAAAGTGAATAAACGATTTTTCTAGTTTTTTCGCATGTTTGTCTGTATGCTGGCTTAACATAATCCCTTTACATACATATGCTTCAATTATTTATATACTTGTACTGAATAATTGGAAACATTTTATTACATAATTTCAGTGATTTAAATTATCCATGTTTATTTTTCGAATGTTGGACTTACTTTAAAATTACCAAATACGGTATTCAAACGACGTGTGCTGTTAGCATTCAATCGATTATTTGTAGGAGAAATGGAATTATTCACAAAATGCTGATCATTGCCTTTACGTAAAATAATAAAATGATAGAACAGAAAGAGGAAAAGAGTAAAGAAAGGTTACAATTACGACTCACATGAAATCGATATAAATGAATTAGATATGACTAAATGAAGGAAAAATCTGGACAATTGAAAGGATATGGAAGATTTGTTTAATTTGTAAGTTGTATTTATTACAGATTGATTTCAGCTTGGATACCACTGTAAACCAGTAATCACTGAACAGATATTTAGTCCCAGTACACGAATCGACGTAAATGAACACCCACGATCCCAGAACGGATCTGAATCAGTGACTGCAGTCGTTAAGCAGTAGCCACAAGAAATGAAGGTCCTTGGTCCGACCGTTAGTGGGGTTATGGGTTGGTATTGTTGAAGAGTTCTATACTAGGATGAAACATCTGTCTAGTGCAATTAGGTTTCCAATGCTTCCTCACAATAGGACAAAACGGCCATCCAGTGCTTCCAGGTTTTCCATGATGGTTTAGCTTCGAGTGACTCATGATCTCAACCATTGAAAAATTCATCAGTTAACTTTAGATTCTCTATATTTCTCTTCTTCGTTTATTCTACTCATTGGCATTGCCTTTGTATATTCCAATTGGTTTTCTGCTTCTCTAGGATTATAGTTTGTATTTTACTCACCAATGATACTATTAAAATCGAATTAATCAAGCCTTCTCTTTGCAAATAGGCTTTTTGAATGAATAAGTTCAACTTATAATGTAGCTATAGATTGATTACATGTTGAACAGTAGCTGGCAGTGGAATTAAGAAACATCATAGGTATTGAACATAACATTTCAATGTGAATAACAGAACTCATTTGAATGCAAGTACATTCCAGCTGATGAGTCATGAATAGGACGAAATGTAACAATTAGTTACAGAGAATGACCTAACGTGGCCTAACTAGAACAAGCAATATAGAAACTAGAACAAACACGTTAAGCAATGCCCCAATTTCCCATAAAAAACTCATGAGACAAGGATTTGCAGCTGACTATTCACAAATATTCAGCATTAAGTTATTAATTCATTACAATTTTAATAATTAAATAATACTAAAATATGAACAATTACCTGAAACGTTATTTATAATTGATGAGTTAAGTTGTCTACATGAACTGTTATCTATTTGATTATCATTAATAATGTTTATTTGTCGTAAAGGTGATCGTAACTGTGCTGAACTTTTCATTTGATGCTTTGAATTATTATTCATAATTGTATCTAATGCATGACTTAGAATTAAATAAATAAGATTATTGTTATTATTTGTAGTAGGAGGATTATTATTGTCACCATCAAGTGTAGTGGTACAAGAGTCTTTTACCCATGTCAATAAATGTACTGGTAGACGATCAAGATTTTTAGTCACAAAGCCTGACACAGAGTATGTAACAGATCCACCATAATGTTTCACAATGAAACGATCACATGCTGATTTTGAATAAGTTTTAAGTTTTGACGGAGATGGTTTAGAAATTGTTTGTTTGTTCATTACATGACAAGATGTTGGTTGTGTATGTTTCTTAGTATTGGTCATACGGGGTGATCGAACAATCTGGTCTGAAAATAGTTATTTTAAAAAAAAGACAATAAGGTGGAGTGAATACACCATTTCCTTCAAAATCACACAATACCATTTACAATTGGTTAACCACTAGGTAGTGATCAATGTTAAGTGTGTCAGATCCACTTTCGTGCAGATCGAATTCTACAGACTAAGTTGCAACGCGGCCACTAGTCTAGATGACTGGACATTGTGTGCTCTGTGTTTGAGATGAGATGGTGGTTTGAGGTAGCCGACACACGTTTGACATTGATCACAACCCAGTAATATATTCTGGTAGGTAGTTAATTGCTTAAGGGAACAATCCTCGAACATTCGACCTAAAGATCCAATCCATAAAGCAGTTGAGCAAAGTTACGAGATGCAGTTTCATAGTAACCAATGACCGAGATAGAAACATACATTATTTGTTGTGGATCTCATAACGAAAAATGTGTAGCCATACGGAAGCATTCCCAAAAAAAGAATAAATGAGGAGGATTTTCTGAAATTACATTCTCTGAACTAAATGATTCAATAGTAAAGTCCACATTATATTTCTAGACAACATTATCAACACAAACATTCACATGAAGTCAGATATTAAAATTTCTTCATAACCAATAAATAGCTTGTAATGTTCAATATTGAACTTGATTCGTTATTTCGAGAGGGAGAGGGGACTCTTACCACAATTGGCCATACCAGGGCTAAGTACTATTATTTGTACTATTACACGAAAAATAAATATTAGTTTGTTAATGAAATATCTGCCATTTATTATACTTGATTTATAGTATATTTTATACGAAATAATATTGTATGTAAGGTAAAGACAGCCAATGTAATAAAAATCTCTGCAACAGTAGGCCTGAACATACAAAAAGGATCCTCAAATACAACACGGAGAACATCAACCCGATCACACTGAGCCGAGGTTTGGGAGCAGACAACTAAAGGATTACTCAGGACAGTTCGATGGGTAATGATAGTGGGAAGCCTATACTCCTCCGTGAGGGGTAACAAGCGTAAATAATAAGAACTTGGTGAACTTTGAACAGACATTTTATTTGTTTTTATGTGAACACATAAATATTGGTACAAAGTGGGCACCAGATATATATGAGAATGGGAAATGAAAAATAATGTAAGGTGCGTATAAGAAAAAATTTATAATAACGACCACAGATTAGTGTATGGTAATGTTAATGCTAATAATAATAATAATAATAATAATAATAATAATAATAATAATAATAATAATAATAATAATAATAATAATAATAATGACAATAAAAATAACAATAATAATAATGGAGGAAACGGAAAGGTACAATCAGAAAAAATCTTTCAGTTAAGGAAAAAACAACCACTTTTTATGAAGAAATTAAAAGAAGGTCACAGAAGGATCACCACTGGCTTCTATTCTGAGCCATATCTGATAACGTCTCTAACCATTGTGTTGCACCATCTCTCGGACCCCAACCAAGGAGTCATGAAGGACTAACACAAGCCAGTCCTTTGCAGCTTTCTTTCATACCGCGACACCATGTCATGCACTGACCACCTCGCCGCTTCTTCCAACCAGTCCAAGAGTCGACAAATAATGCACGACGTAGGACTCTCTGGGACGACATTCGTAGAACATGTCCAAGCCAACAAATTCGATGCTTCAAGATGGTGACATCAATTGGATTATCGTCTCTGGGTCCGAACACACGATGCCGAACCTCTGCATTACTAAAATGGTGTTGCCACTGGATGTCAGCAATCCTTCGGAGACAACGGTGATTGAACACAAAGAATCGTCTGGAATCCTCAATTAGGAGAATCCGTTTCACAAGCATAGAGAAGAACTGCTCTCACCAACGCGTTGTAGATCCGACCTTTTACAGCCAGACTGACATTACGAAGGCGCCAAAGATGGCCCAGATTGGCATAAGCCGCTCTGGCTTTCACTATACGTGCATTGATCTCATCACTCATCAGCACTTATGCAGCTACCTAGATACACGGACTTCTCGACTATTTTTATCTGCTCACCATCCAGGGTGAGTACAGGATCAGGGTCCTGCCAGTCTTGTAGAAGTACTTTGCACTTCGAAGGTGCAAAGCACATACCATACCTAAGGACACTGATTGCCAACTGATTAAGTGTGGATTGCATGGCTTGAGCATTATCGCACAGTAAGACAATATCATCCGCATATTCAAGGTCGAGGAGTCTTTCTCCAGACAACAGATCCACACCGCCATTACTTATATCCATCAGAGCTGTTTCCAGAATGTCGTCGATGTCAAAGATGAAGAGGAATGATGAGATTAGGCAACCCTGCCTAACCCCACTGCTCGAAAGGAACAATGGAGAAAGGTGGTTGTATGCCCTCACCCTGTCTGAGGTGTTTGTATATAGGGCTTTTAGGATGTTAATAAACTTCTCAGGCACACCCTTCCTCAATAGACAATCCCAGAGAACAGTCCTGTCCAACGAATCGAAGGCAGCCCTGATGTCAAGAAACACTACAATTGTTGGCCTTTGATAAGTATGGCGGTGTTCTAACATTTGGCGGAGGGTGAAGATATGACCAATACATCCTCGACCAGAACGAAAACCAGCCTGATCCTCTTGTGTCAATCTTTCTAGAGTTTTGAACAACCTACGAAGTATGACGGAAGCCAATAGCTTGGACGCAATCGGAAGTAGACTTATCCCCCGATAGTTGTTACAGGAACGACGTGAACCCTTTTTTGAAGATAGAGACAACTATCAACTCGTTCTATGATGCTGGAACACTCTCTAGCTCCCACACCTTTGTAAACAACGTCGTCAGTCCCCTAACTAGAAAGTCACCACCAACTTTAAAAAGAGCCGGAGGTAAGTCATCTGGGCCAGGTGATTTGTAACGCTTCAAGAGTTGGAGTTCCTTGCGGACTTCCTCCTCGTTTGGTGGATCAGTCGTCACCGGCCATGGAGGGCAGGACAGTCTGACCGATGTTGCCGGAGCAGCAGGCCAGTTGAACTGCCCTTCGAAGAATTCTGCCCATCGTCCAAGACATCGATGGATGTTAGTGATTGGCGTCCCGTCATTCTCACAGATTATTTCGCTCACACCAGACTTCTTGCTGCCAGTGGCTCGGATGAGTTGGAAGAGCTTCCGGTAATTACCAAATGCAGCTGCTGCTTCCAGTTCATTAGCACGCTCCTATCACAAGGCTTCTCGGTCCTTACGCAAGCTTTGCCCGATTTCATTACGTAACAGCCTTCGTTAGTGGTCAAACTCACGGTCACCCGGAGTAGACCGACGGGCTTCGATGAGTTGTAAGGAGCCTGAAGAAACCCAGTGCTTATAAGTAGGACGTTTCGCGAAGACGCAAGCGGTTTTACTCGCCATTTTTATGGTGTCATGCAATTTCAACCAATGCTCATCTGTACTTTTCGGTGCGATGGTAGCTAGTCTAGAAGTTAGCTCGGTTCAATACTTACTTGCAACAGAATTTGCGACCAATTTACTGACATCAATCCGTTTATGACGGAAATTAAGTGAATTTAGCACACACAAAAATATTTTAATTCTTAACAAATAATTAACAGTATATAAATAATGAAAAGTTTATTTGAAAGAAAAGAAAAATTACCATCATATAAACAAATTGAACAATTTGGTGTAGTAAACACTGATTGCATTTTATTAATCCAATCTAATTCACGTGGATCTAATAGGTGATTAGAGGATATAGTTGAAGATAATTTCATGGAAGGATTCACATTGTGAACACGATTTAAAAGACAAACCTATAAAAAGAGAGAAACGCTTAATAATAATAAACAACCATAAATAATAAGGAGGAATTGTTGGTAATATTGGGGATTTTAAAAAAAATTGTTGGATTGCATAGTTTACACAATTGATAAATATTAATCAGTCAACTATTGAAAAACAATAGGCAATGAGCAGCTATTTCTGCCTAGCATGGTACTTTTTGGCAATATCGTGAATTAATTGAAGTTAGAAAGTCGAATCATTGAATGCACACTGAGTGGTCTAAAAATTAACCGTTCCCCGTAAAACTTAAAGGTTCCGAGTTCGGTCTTCAGTGAGGTCGTAGTTGCTGAGTCATATATTAACACATAAATATGTCTGATGCCTGAAATGTTTTTTTTTCATTTTGATTCACTCATACAATTTTACTACGTTTATTTCTAGCCAAAATAAAAGGATCGTATTTTTGGTGGAGTTTTATTCTATGAGCTGGATGATTTGGTCATGGAGCTTTCATCGTCCATCTGAATGACCTCATCAGCTCCACGACCAAACCATTTAGCTCATAGAACAAAACTCCACCAAAATTACTGACTTAGCTTCAAATCTTCCCCACTGTCTTATGAGTCGAATGCCGTGTTGATATCAACACACTATTATACCAAAATCAATTGAAAAACCAGTAGACAGTTTAGTGTCTTGTATAAGTTTTACTTCAGAGTAAATGTTCTGTGTACTTATGTGACACCTGTTTCGCTACTAAGCAGAGTTAGGAGCATAGACTGTCTAATGGAAGAACTGAAAAAGCGTTTAGAAGTTCATGTCATTTAACATCGTCCTTGATGTTTATTTGATCCAATCAACCCACGAAATATCTGACAGCTGAGATTTGTCTAAGATCCTTAGACAATACCCATCTACATTAAAATGGTGTCATGTTTTGAAATATATGGTATAGATGCCTTCACTCCAATTCGGGGAGTATTGAGTTAGTAAATAAAACATTCGGCTTTCAACAAGTACTTTGGGGGTTCAAACCTCACTTTCAACCCAGTTAACTTTGAGTAGCCGACCGAAGCTGCTACCTTGACGTGGTGGTCGGGCTTGCCTATCGTGATGACCCATCCGAGCTATATTGGCTGGAATATATGTTCCTGTAGGTTCTACCATGCCAGGCAGGTCGATTGGTGAACGGTAAGACTAAAAGCAGCAACTCAAAGTCTGAGGGCGAAGTCGTACTGCTGACTGTACAGAGGTGTGACAGCAGTAAGGTGTTTCCTTCGGACAATCAGCATGACAGCGATGCTGCCTTCCCACAAGGAGGGGTGGGGTTAGAAAAGGTCGACCCTAAAAATGTCACACCTCACCTTACCTCACGGATTTCCGTCTCCGGCGGTAAGGCCATCTGAAGAACGGAGCTAACACGTCAAAAACCTTCTACAAAAAGGCCGTGCGCGACCGGCCTCAAGCAGTTGTCCCTTGGGCTCTGCGGTCACGCTCCCAGGTCGTTAAGACCAACACTAATCCAATTTCCTTTTCAGGTTCCTCAAGAAATACCCTTCCACGGTGTGAGCAGCCGGGAAGTGACATCAGCCCTCATACCCGTAACAGCACGCGAGACCAAGTTGGTCACATTCAAATCCTTCCTACACCTAATACCTCTCTTATCTCCATGACTAACCCTCCTCACGTCTCTTTATCACCTCGCACCGCTAGGGCAAACGATTCGAGTACGTGGAACTCTATTCCTGGTCTCCTCAAACCACGCTCTAAACTACACGTAAGAGCTTTTAACGTCCGAACACTGTGCCAAATAGGACAACAGGCTTCCTTAGCTAGGACTTTAGAATCTCGCGCCATCGATGTGTGTTGCGTCTCCGAAACGCGCATACAGGATCCAAGTAGCATCATTCATTTGACCTCACCATGCCAAAATAAAGAACCGACTCGATTTACGCTTCGTGTATCTGGAAGCCCTGATTCTGCTTCCCGTGGCCTCGCCGGCGTAGGTATAGCATTGAGTCCTAGGGCAGAACTAGCTCTCTTAGAGTGGATCCCAGTAGACAGTCGTTTGTGCGCTGTCCGACTGAACGGAACAGTAAGAATCCGGAAAGATAGGGACACTCGTCGTTGCCTCTTCGTCGTCTCTGCCTATTCTCCCACTGACTGCAGCTCAGATGATGTAAAAGATGAGTTTTACAGAAAGCTTTCGGACCTTCTCCGAAAAGCTAAGCGCTCGGATGTAGTAATAGTGGCCGGTGACTTTAATGCTCAAGTAGGTAAACTAAGCGATAGGGAAAGACACCTGGGTGGATCTTATAGTATAGTGGCTCAAAGAACAGATAATGGCGACCGTCTGTTGCAGCTATGCTCAGATAATCGCCTGTTCCTTGCAAATACTAAGGAAAAACATCTTTTAACATGGCGACCCCCTAATTCGTCCCAACGTTGGACCCAAATAGATCACATCGCTATCAGCCACCGATGGAGGGGCTCGATAGAAGACTGTCGCTCATTCTGGAGCACATGCCTAGATTCAGATCATGCTCTAGTACGAGCGCGTATTTGCCTGCGTCTTACTGGACGTAGGAAAACCGCTGCAAGGAAACCTCTTAGGGGCCTACTTAATGATAGTCAAGCTAAGAGTATATTTCAGGAACAACTAAGAAAACAGTTAGGCAGCCATGTATGTGATGCCCACCCCGAGGCAGCATGGAATGATATCCGAAAAGCTGTGGAAACAGCAGTGATATCTGTTAGTAAGGTAAACCAGAAGGTTAGGGAGCAACACTGGATCTCAGCAGCATCTATCGCACTGATAGATGCTCGGAAACTCATTCCACCTGGCTCTGAACATAGTGAAGAGCGGAGTCAGCTTAAGCGCAAACTAACAAGAAGTCTACGCAATGATCGCGAACAGTGGTGGGTAGCGAAAGCAAGAGAGATGGAAAAGGCAACGGCAATAGGTAATAGCAGACAATTGTTTAGACTCGTTAAGGAAACCGGAATTAGGAACCCGACTGTTAGCGAAACAATCTCAGAGAAAGATGGACATATTATTCATTCTCAATCCAGGAGATTGGATCGATGGGCAGAACACTTTAGGGATCAGTTCAACTGGCCTTCAGCCACACTTCGGTTTCCCACGATCGCCAGTCAACCTGAATGGCAAGTTAATGTAGGTCATCCGTCTCTTTATGAAGTTGAAAAAGCCATAGGAAATCTGAAACGAGGGAGAGCAGCAGGCCCTGACAGGTTTACTCCTGAGATTTTTAAGGATGGTGGTCCAGTATTAGCAATGAGATTAACCGAGGTCTTAGGTAGAATTTGGGAACTGGACGTAATCCCATCTGACTGGTCTCAATCACTGATTGTGCCAGTTTATAAGAAAGGACAAAAGTCCTCTTGTGACAATCACAGAGGAATCAGTTTGACTAATATAGTGTCTAAAATATTAGCTTCAATAATACTTCGACGCCTAATCAAAGCTCGTGAAGAGCAGACTCGAGAAAATCAGGCTGGTTTTCGACCTGGACGTGGTTGTATAGATCAGATATTCACACTACGTCAGGTTCTAGAACACAGACACACGTTTAGACGCCCCACAATGGTAGTATTTCTCGACCTTAAGGCGGCATTCGACTCTGTTGATCGTAAGGTTCTATGGCAGTGTTTGTCACTGAAAGGAGTACCAAAGAAGTACATTAACCTTATAAAGGCTCTCTACTCGAACACAACTGGTAGAGTGAGAGCTTATGGCGAACTGTCATCAGAATTGATTACCTCAAGTGGTGTTCGTCAGGGCTGTCCACTCCCCCCATTCTTGTTAAACTTTGTGGTCGACGTACTTTTAGAGATAACACTCTCCTCATCTAAATTTCCGGGGGTTGAACTTCTACCGGGAGGTTCACTTGTTGACTTAGAATATGCAGATGACATAGTTTTATTTGGTGAAGACGCTGACAAAATGCAGAGTCTTCTGACCACTCTAAACAACAATGCAAGCATGTTCGGGATGCGATTTTCTCCCTCGAAATGCAAAATGTTGCTTCAGGATTGGGTTACATCGACACCCGAACTAGTGATAGGGAGTGAAGTAGTTGAGTGTGTCGACCGCTTCACTTATCTTGGAAGTCTCATCAGCCCTTGTGGTCTGGTGTGTGACGAAATCTCAGCACGGATACAGAAGGCTCGACTAGCTTTTGCGAACTTGCGTCATTTATGGCGTAGGCGAGATATCCGTCTATCAACCAAAGGACGGGTTTACTGTGCAGCAGTACGTCCCGTCCTACTTTATGGAAGTGAAACATGGCCGGTAAGAGTAGAGGATATTCGTAGGTTACTAGTATTTGATCATAGGTGTCTTCGAAACATTGCTCGTATATCCTGGGACCACCGAGTAAGTAACGCAGCTGTTAGGAAACGGGTACTAGGTAAGGATGGCAAATCAATTGATGAAGTAGTGAAACTTCATCAGTTGAGATGGCTGGGACACGTGTTACGTATGCCCAACCACCGACTACCTCGACGTGCTATATTCAGTGGTACGTACGTACGTACGTACATCAGTTCGAGTTGCCACACCACCTTAACACAGAGATGCAGTTGTCGATTCAAATCCCATTGTGGTAGAGGTAGCAAGAGTGTAAGCAGTGATCGGGAAGATTAGGGTTTAGAGATGTTATTTAAAAAGTATAATTCAGTGAAATAAATTTGGAAAGAGGAAAAAAGGGACATGAAGAATTGAGAAGATTAGAATTTGGGAGAACACAAAGAGTGGATACACCTGCGCCATTGCAAACGATTTTGAGCCATGTCATTCAGGGTCTCTTACCATCGGTTGCTATCATCTCGCGGTCCCCAACCAGGTAGTCTACACCTACCAACATGACTCAGACCACTTGTCAGTGACTTCATGGACTTGTGCCATGTTTTGGTCTGGCCGCCCCTACACACAGATAATAATCGGATAGATTAAGAAGCGTTAAAATAAAAAATTATCAACCACCTACATTAATATATTACACTGACCAAAGTAGAATAAAAATATCAATGAGTTTATCACTGATTGTCATATATTCATTAAATGAATCTAATCTGATTAAATTGTAATAATAGAATAATGTTCCAATACTATATCTGTAAATACAAGCCATTTTGTTCAACAAATTGTTCCATATAGGTAAACGGATAGCTACTAAATAGTTCAGATAAATGACAACTATGAATGAATTGTCTTGTCATTTAGGTGCCAATAAATAGTAACGACTTGATGTCTGATGATATTTTGACACGAAATCAGAAAAGTTGGGTTAACCTCTCCCAAATTTGGCTAATTATTGTGTAGGTGAGATGTTCATCTGTCAACCAAAGGCCGTATATACTATACAGAAGACCGTTCCGTATTACTTTATGTCTGTGAAGCATGATTTTTGAGAGTAAATATTATGATAAGGCTACAGGCTTTTAATCACTGATGCCTTCAAGGGGTTTCTTTAATCTGATGAGACTACCGAGTGATCAATGTTAATGTTACATTACTTACTATTCCAGATACATTAAAATCAAATTTATCGCCAATCAGATTATTCTTACTTACTTATGCCTGTTACTCCTAATGGAGCATAGACCGCCAATCATTCTCCAATACACTCTCTCCAAGGCCTTCCTTTCTAATTCCATCCAGTCCTTGTTCATTTTTCTAATGTCTATCTCCATTTCTAGGCGTAATGTGTTCTTTGGTCTTCCACTTCTCCTTTGGCCTTGACGATTCCATGTGAGGGCTTGTCTCGTGACGCAGTTGGGTGCTTTCCTCAATGTGTGTCCTATCCACTTCCAGCGCTTCTTCCTGATTTCTTCCTCCGCTGGGATCTGGTTTGTTCTCTTCCAGAGTACGTTGTTGCTAATAGTGTCCGGCCAATGGATCCGAATTATTTTGCGTAGACAACTGTTAATAAACACCTGTATTTTCTGGATGATGGCTTTCGTAGTTCTCCAGGTTTCCGCCCCATACAGTAGAACTGTCTTGACATTTGTATTGAAAATACTGACCTTGGTGTTAGTTGACAGTTGCTTTGAGTTCCAGATGTTCCTCAGTTGTAAATATTCTGCTTTCACTTAACCGATCCGTGCTTTCACATCTGCATCAGATCCATCACCGTGTTCATCAATGATGCTGCCCAGATATGTAAAGGTTTTTACATCTTCCAAATCTTCTCCGTCAGTTGTGACTGGAGAATCTTGCTTTTCCCTTTGTGTATATTGAGACCTAGTGCTGCTGCTACACTGCTCGTCTTCTCCTGCATTTGTTGTTGCGTTTGAGATAGAAGGGCCAGATCATCTGCGAAGTCCAGATCGTCCAACTGCATCCTGGATGTCCATTGTATCCCGTGCTTCCCTTCAGATGTTGACGTCTTCATGATCCAGTCGATCACCAGGAGAAAGAGAAAGGGTGAGAGTAAGCAACCTTGCCTTACACCGGTCTTCACTTCGAACGACTTTGTCAACTGTCCTCCATGCACGATTTTGCAGTGTAATCCATCATATGAATTCTGTACGATATTGACTATCTTCTGAGGCACGCCATAACGTCGAAGAAGCTTCCATAGTGTTGTCCTGTCCACGCTGTCAAATGCTTTTTCGTAGTCAATTAAGTTCATGTGGAGTGATGAATTCCATTCAATTGATTAATCCGCAATGATCCATAGAGTTGCGATTCGGTCTGTACACGATCTATCCTTACGGAATCCTGCCTGTTGGTCTCGAAGTTGGGTGTCTATGGAGTCCTTCATCCTGTTTAACAATACCCTGTTGAAGACTTCTCCCGGTATTGAGAGAAGAGTGATGCCCCTGTAGTTATCACAGTTGCTGAGTTCGTCATCCTTTGGTATTTTGACCAAAAGTCCTTCTTTCCAGTCTGTTGGTACTTGTTCCTCATCCCAAATATTGCTGAAGAGAATGTAGAGTATCCCTGCGGTTGCCGCTACGTCTGCTTTCAGTCTGAGATTATTTTTATTATTATTTTATTTGAAAACATTGATATTAGTACAAGAAGGAATCAGATACATATGCGCCACACAAATCTTATTTGATTTATTTGAGAGCTGTGATACTGCCTAAGGACCCAAACCGAAACACGTGGTTCTCTTAGACGGTCACACACGGAGCCTCTGACCTAAAGGTCTGACCCACAAGGCAGTGGAGCATCGTAAGGAGATGCAGTCCCATGGTAATCGGTGACAAACGATTAGTTCATACGCCATTTGTTTCTTTAGGTTACTTGAGCCTATGTGCATCAATGGTTAGGAATCAAGGTTTTCCAACTCCCCTAGGTGGACTCTCCGTATCCACTAATCTGATTAGAGCAGTCAGTCAGTCAGTCAGTAACAACGTAGAACTTCGTATGTACGTACATCAGTTCGAGTTGCCACACCACCTTAACACAGAGATGCAGTTGTCAATTCAAATCCCATTGTGGTAGAGGTAGCAAGAGTGTAAGCAGTGATCGGGAAGATTAGGGTTTAGAGATGTTATTTAAAAAGTATAATTCAGTGAAATAAATTTGGAAAGAGGAAAAAAGGGACATGAAGAATTGAGAAGATTAGAATTTGGGAGAACACAAAGAGTAGATGCACCTGCGCCATTGCAAACGATTTTGAGCCATGTCATTCAGGGTCTCTAACCATCGGTTGCTATCATCTCGCGGTCCCCAACCAGGTAGTCTACACCTACCAACATGACTCAGACCACTTGTCAGTGACTTCATGGATTTGTGCCATGTTTTGGTCTGGCCGCCCCTAGCTTTCTTCCAACCTACTCCTATACCACTGAACATCGCACGTCGAGGCAGTCGGTCGTTGGGCATACGTAACACGTGTCCCAGCCATCTCAACTGATGAAGTTTCACTACTTCATCAATTGATTTGCCATCCTTACCTAGTACCCGTTTCCTAACAGCTGCGTTACTTACTCGGTGGTCCCAGGATATACGAGCAATGTTTCGAAGACACCTATGATCAAATACTAGTAACCTACGAATATCCTCTACTCTTACCGGCCATGTTTCACTTCCATAAAGTAGGACGGGACGTACTGCTGCACAGTAAACCCGTCCTTTGGTTGATAGACGGATATCTCGCCTACGCCATAAATGACGCAAGTTCGCAAAAGCTAGTCGAGCCTTCTGTATCCGTGCTGAGATTTCGTCACATACCAGACCACAAGGGCTGATGAGACTTCCAAGAGCGCCAGATATTCGCTTTTGTTCTCCCAATTTTGTAAACAACACCCCCGCCACAAGAAGGCGGTGAGTAGAACTTCGCTAGCAGAGGCTATATACGCGTGGCCATGTGAGAGCATTTCGAGAGGGAGAGCTGACTCTCTCCACTCTCGGTCGTACCAGTGCATTTGGGGGCCAATCAGATTACCAACAGTTACACTAGTATAATCTATTCCATATAAACATAATTAATCATTTTGGTGAGGTTCATACTTTCCTTATATCAACTAACTATTACTAATAACAAAACTGAGTTTGCTAAACTGTGTGTGTTACAATTAACTCAATTTACAAAACTTGTTATTTAGCATAACAACAAATAAAGCAATGTACATACTTCTTCTAATAAATTAGCATTTGTTTCTATCGCTTTCACAGTATGTGTATTATAACATTTTTCCAATGATGAATCTAACCGGGGTTTGTATTCATCAATATTTCCATCAGTAATATTCATATTAGTAGTATTGGTAACGTTGGTGGTGGTAATAGTATCAGTTGGTAATAAATTATTTACAGATTGAAAAGATAATCCTTCCTCTTCTAATTCCACCCATGCATTCGTAACAGCAATACGCATAAACGTTTGATGTAAACGTTCATTAGCATAATTAATACAATATTGTTCGAAACTATTTACATCCAAGCATTCAAAACCGAATAGATCAAGGATACCTGAAAAAACAGATGTATATATATCTATATATAATATCAGCACAACGAGAAAAGTAATATGAGAGAAATGAAAGAAGAGAATTCATTTCAATAGGGACTAAACCCTAAAAGAACACAAAATATTTCACAAAGAATACATGGGATTGGAGAATAAGACGTTAGGAGTAAAGGAAGATAGAGAACACAATCCAATCCTTTGTAGACGTTTGCCCGAAAAGATTTTGGATTACTTTGTGTAATTTAATAACTACAGATGTACAGTGCGCAGTCACTCAATTCAGAGCTGTCGAGTTGATCCACTCTACTCATCAGATTATCATCAGTTATATAACATAATATAATTTTCTTAAGGGGGAGGTATTCCTGGATCTGGGGACCACTTATGCTTATTTACCAGGTTTTGCTAAGACTGAATCATTAGTTTTTTAAAATCATGGATAAAAACCGTCACACTAGATGTAGTTGTTAGTTATGTCCATAACTAGTCAATCAAAACGTTGCTTAAACCTTCACCACATCAATCTGGTCTAATGTGTCTGTAGACTATCCCTGTTGAATGTAACCTACCAACTGAAGGATGTTATTACCCTATTATATTAGTTTTCTTTTCATTTCGATAAGACACGCAATACTGGCCGGAATGTTCGCGCGCTTCACTTAATGACTATAATTCCTTTAATTATTGTACTAATCTAATTGTTATTTTTACGTTTAGAAACAGATAGTTTTCAAGTCAAATTGTCCTTGTTTTGACTATATCTTAATTCACATAGATTCTGGGTCATCAGTATCGCGTTTACAGTTCCGGCGAAATATCCGTAGGAAGAATTAAATCCTATAGTAGTATCTAACTACAGTCAGCAGGATCATCAAACCGGCTTAACGCAAGTCTTTCTTTCTGGATATCGATTAGAATATATACTTCATATGAATGCAGTAACAGTCTTTAAGACCCAAGATGTGAAAATCACTGTAACGGTAAATTCCAAAGGAATGGGCATTCATAAAATGATAAGCACCACAATCCTAGCATGGAATTTTCTCTATGGTTGCTTTGTTGAAATGAGGTGAGGGACAGGGCAGACGGTGAAAGTATACGGCCAGATTTCTGATGGAAATCAATCCTGCTGGTATCACCTTGGTCTCAATATTAAATAAGATGCTTACTGGTTAAAATATTAGACTTTCGATCATGAAGGCATGGGTTAGAACCCCAGCTACACTAAGTTTTGGTTTGTGTAACTAGTCAGTATCATTAACCCTTGGGTGAAAAGTTGTCAGTCAGTCAGTCAGCTACAACGTAGGACCAGGCACATATATGCATTGAAAAGTTGTAGCAGCAAACCGATCAACATAAAATCGTCCTTGGTTACTGAAACATTTAAAAGTAATGCTAGATATTTGAGTCCCAACGATAATTTGTAATGACGTCATCATCCTTCGTTATGGTATAGTCACAAGGTACCTGAATAAAAGTTTAGCTGCAGAATACAGTTAGCTGATTTAGACAGTGAAAAAAATAGCTAATTGAACAGCTTGTTAATTGATGGGCAAAATATCGTGTAAGTTATATTGATTTCCCACAATTTTACACTGATCTCAGTAGGTTGAAGGGAATTTAAAGGGCCAAACCAAAATGTGGTATACGTGCATAAAGTCATTATCCGCAGTATCGAACTATGTTATTGGATGCAGACTACATGGTTAGGGTCTACATGATAACTGAGACCAGTCGTTAGAGATTTTGTGTGATATGGCTGAAAATCAGCATTATCCTAAATTCTGAGTCCCAATATTCCTCCATGTATACTTTTTAATTCAGTTCTCTCAAACAATAATCTCAATATTCAGTATTTGACGTTATTATTGTTACCATACCATTTTTACTCCTTCCCTATTCATTACATTAGTTTCATCTTGTCAAGCAAATAAGGTAAGACAACTTGATCAAATGCACATTTACATCAAACTCTACGTTGATTATGACTGATTGACTAATAATAATAATGATAGTAATAATAATAATAGTAATGATAATAATAATAGTAATAATAATAATGATAATAATATCGGTAGCAACATACCCAATTCATTAACAACACCTTCAGTATTATCGAAATTCAACTGTTTGTTTATTAACTCAACCATGAAATGAAATAGACTAAAAAGCAAATAATGATGAATAGAAAATTATAAAATTTATAACTAAAAAATTACAAACATTAAGAAAGACTAACAAATCATGGATGAGATAATATATCACGGCAAAGCAAAATCTGAAATGATTATAACATGGTAGACTTATGGAACAGAAATCTCACTGTAACCACAACACAATTTTTTTAACAGCTGGTAGCAAGAGACATAATTTTTGATGGTGATGGTGGTGAAGATTTGTAGCTCAAATGGATAATTTAGGTGGAGCTTTGTCTTATGATTTGAATGGTTTGGTCGTGGAGCGTTTATCGTCCATCTGAACAACCTGATCAGCTCTACGACCAAAACTCCACCTAGATATCATTTGTTTTCAGTATACTGGTCAAATTATCAATGAACTAGTCAAAATTATAAGTGAACGGTTAAGTAATATCTGTATTAATTTTTAAGTGTTACACTAAAATAATGAGAACTATGAATAAATATATACTAATTACGGTTTGATTCTGTTGCTTAGTCATAGATAATATCGAAATTGGAGTGAATGTCTACTAGTTCAAAATGTTACATCTAATGTCAATATAAACAGAGAATATCAGAAAGGTGACAAATTAACTAATTTTTCGTTAGCAAATGTTAGGTTTGTTTTGTAAGGAATTCTTTGGTAAAATTCTTCCTAATTGATTTTACATTAGCTATCAACGGATCGAATGTTTTCACTTTTAGTTCGTCATTCTTTCTGGATCCTAATGTTATGTTTATTGCAATATCAATAGAATTATCCTTTTACAATTATGACCTATGAGAATATTTGAGACTTCCTGAAAGTCCTGTTTTTTCCCTCTTATTCACATAAAGATAGAGAGTTGAAGAGTTGTAGTGTATTACTTATTTCACATAACTAGTTTGTGAAGACCCAATTTCATATTAAAAGAATCTCTCAATCGTTCGAAATTCGGAATTACCGTAGACTATCATAACAGAGAGAAAGATGAAACTAAATAAATGAGAAGCAGAAAAAGAGGGAAAGTTTGGTAAATTATAGGATGTAATTTTAGGAAAAGACATTAGGCTTCAGATTTAAATCAGTGAAATTCACCTATTGAGTTGAAGCTTCAGAAACTGAATAATCAAAATAGTATTGATAGTCATTACGCAAATTTGACTTGTAAGTGTTCGCATTTCCCCATTGTTGATGTAAAAGACTGCAATTTATCAGTATCTACTGGGATGTGTATATCATTAGAGGATTGCCTCTAAATCGACATTTAGCTAGTAGCTATTTCGACTCAGTAGCTCAGTGTTTAACGAGTTGGAGCTTGAAGTGAAGGGTACTGAGATTCAACTCTTAGCGTGAACAACGACACTGAAATACAGGTACACCCAGCTGGCAAATGCGAAAGAGGACGAAGCATAAGTACTGAATTCCACTAGTAACTAACATCTAACTCTAATTGAAACCACAAATTATTTGGGTAAGAACAGAACATATGAACGCGTACATGGTGAATGAATGAGTCACATTTTATTCAGTTCAAACTTAAAATTTAAGGGAAGATTAAGAGCGAATGCAATTGGGTTGCTGCGACCGGATTGAAAGTCACTTCACACAAAATTTCCAGTCACAGTTTAAGACTAGGAAAGGCTCCAACCAGAAAGTCGTCATATACGCACATAACATAGACCAACAGTCAAAACCTCCAAGTGTTGATGTTGCCTCACGATTTAACCACACTTCGTTTTCTTTATATTACTCCTACGTAACTAAGGACTGACTCGAAAGAAAAGATAGTTAGCCACATGTAACAACCCAGAGAACACAAGACCATCAAAGTTGAAGCAAATAAATACACTAACCTATTGTATAAAGCTTTTACAAAACAATCACGTTGTTCTCGAGCTTGAGAAACTGTACACGCACATCTATAAGTTGTCACTCGTCTGGATTGATGTGAGTTGGAACCAGCTTGAACAAGACGTGTTAGAAATTGTTGTGGGAAACTATGAAGTAATTCACCGTCTGGAATACCTAAGAGTTTACCAGCCATTGTGACTCCACGTAGAAAATAAAAAAATGTGCTGATTTGAAAAGATATTTGTGAATATATTATAAAATGTAGTAAGTACGGGTGTAAAAACTGTCATATAAATAAGTGACTACTGTTCTTTTTATATATGTCCCAATACCTAATCAGGTGCTCACTATACCTACTGCTAAATTTTATAAGATGTTTTATACCTTTCTAATGATAAAAATCAACTGTTTGATTTTCATTGCTAAAATAAACAAAAATGTAGCTCCGATATTTTAAGAATTAGAAATTAATCAACTATCGGGTCAATTCAACTCTTTTCCAGTTTGCTTGTACTCTTGTGAAATAAGCTATTTATCCATATCAATAAATTAATGAGTGTTTTAAAATAAAAATTTCGTAGTATAGCACCAACTGAACTATTAGATGAGTTATACAAGTTTTACGAATGTCATCCAACTGACTTCCACACTTAGCCTTATTTGTTGATACTGAAATAAGGTGGAAAAAAGACAGAGATTGTCTTTTTCTGACATGAAACTGTCGTATGAAGTCATTTTTGGTCCATAAAGACCTCATGTTTTAGTTCCTGGTGTTAATTAGACAGAGCTCAGAATAGAAGCCAGTAACAACCTTATTGTAGTTTTAAATCAGATTTTACATAAGTGTAAAATTCAATTTAATTGAAAGAAACCTATTCTAGTCATATTTGTAACTGGAACGTCTTTTTTGTGTGTAACGTTCTCATTTAACAAGTTTTTCTTGTTATAAATAAATAAAAATGATATGCAACTTACTTTTCTGCATATCATCGGTAGAAATAGTGGCTAAACTGGCGGGATCATCTGAATACTGACGCTCCTGATGTTGGTGGCGATAATTTTGTTGATCATTCAATTTTGACGAATGACAAGGTGAGTTAGATGGAAGACATGATGAATTTATTTGACTTAAGTCAATATTTACACAAGACTCCGAAGAAATGAAATGTACACTATTCAATAGTAAAATAACACTTAGTAATTTATAAAATTCAAGCAATTTCCCATCTTTAATATTTAATGATTGAAATGCTTCAAGTAAGCAAGACCAGTTGGAATGTGACTTTTGTAACACAAGATCATCACGACTATCATTATCATTCACTAAATAATGACAACCAATCAAACCAAATTGTATTTGATCTTCTTTTGATAAAGATTCCAAAAACTGAACAGTTGAAAAATTTATCCACAAGAATATTCGATGGAATAGAAAAAGCAATAATAGAGGAATAATAAGTACTAATCTTAACTACTAAATGTAGGACAAAATTACACTGGTTCGAATTGTTACATCAGAGTGAGATTAATGGTCTAGATTACAGACTGATACTAGTTACGCAGTCACTGAAAATCAGAAAGCATTAGACGGTTGTTTTGTCTCGGCGTGTGACTCTTCAGAAGTGAGTGTTCACGACCTTCACTACCGGAGGTCGAGTTCAGAACACGTTGCAAGCGCTTAATCTTTGGACTATTGAGTTGACATCCAATGATTTACGTTTCTAACTTTAACATTTAGCAAAGATCTTATAATCCAATTCATGGTCGACTGTTTCACGCCCAACATCATTGAACTCCAGTGGTCACGGCTGCCGAGGAAATCCATGGTAGGACATGACAGGTGTCCAGTGCTTCTTAATTTTTAATGGTTTTCTAACTAAGATCAATTTCGAAGCAAACCATAAAGTCACTAATCTTAACAATACCACCACAGTAAAGTGAGATTAACAAGATGAGTGAGGAAAGACATCAAATAGCATTAGTAGTATAAATTAAGGTCCAAATGGAAGCTAGACACTGAGAATATAGTCTGAAATATGAACGAGTGAAATCAAGGATCAAAAAGCATCTGACAGCAATAAATATAAAGATTTAGTAAAATGAAGATATTTACACTACTGCTGTCGAATCCAGGTCACATAACTTGAAGCTTACAGCTAAGAAGTTTACATCTCTGGATAGCGCTCAGACTAACGACCAACGACGTGACAGATTAATCCCATGTCTTATTTCGACCGTCAACCACCTTCCTCGAACCTTTTACACTAATCACATAAACACGTATGAACGAACAGTGGCTAGGAGCGTGTGACACATAACCCAGTTATATCAAGTCCATGAAAATCCTTACTCATGACCTGAATAACTATTTCTACCTGTTAATAAAGGCCTAACGTCACAGTTACTCATTTCAAAGTTTTGTCATACATGACCAAAGTTTCAAAGACACCCGTGACTGAATACCAATAATAACCTACAAGCATACTCCATAGCTTCTTAGGCCTTCCATCTAGATTAAAACTACCATAAACTAGATTAACTGGAAAAAATTCACGATAAGGGTTGAAACATAGACCTGGAAGGATTTATCGATAGTTAAAGACTCAAAAATATAAACTGCGGTATTTTATTTATTTATTTATTTGAACACATAAATATTGGTACAAGAGAGCGCCAATATATATGCGCCACACAACTGCGGTATTAGTATTTTAGTGTTTAGACATGAGGTATAGGTTGGTAGTATGAAGCCATGACAAAAGAAAAAAGTGGTGAGACAATAAGAAAGGGGATCTAAGCTGTAAATGAGTAAATAAATAGTTGAATAACTGTGTGAACAATAAGCATGTATCTTAATTAGTACTGGTGGAAGGATGAATGAGTGATTGATTTTTACAACTGGGTTACAACTACTCAGGAAAACCAACTTAGTAATACGAAAGCCTCAACTGGGAAGTTGACAGATAGACTGACCATGATTTGGTTAATTTTGAATTTCGAACGGTTGGGGTGAGAAAACTCAGTGATCGTTGATAGTCGGTAGGTCGCAGTACTCTGGTTTTATCAGACCGGTATTGCAAAAGTAACTCTAACTGTTGGAGATTATGAACAGTTTGTCGAATACTGGTGGAAAATAGTGATGCTGTTTGACAGCGCATTGAAATGTTCTGAAGATGCATCAATAGAGATGAGTAAATCACAGTATTTTTGTTTGAAATGATTGGACCTGCTCGAAACAATTATGACAAAAGTGAAAACACCTTGATATTTTAAATACTGGCGCTTTATTTTGACCAGTAGTAATAAGTGGAATACTGATTTTGCATCTATCGACTTTTCTAATTACTGCAGATAGTTCCCTCTTGTATTCAAACATTTACAGTACTAAATAACAACATTATCGTTATTAATAACTTGTCGTTTAGCTGAGTATCAATCGAGGTTATACTATGAGTTGGCAGACTATAGCTAAGTTTAAATTCAAAATAAACTCATTTGTTGAATACAGAATTTACATTGGGCTTTCTAGTAACTCATTATCAAATACACTATGTGAATATTAAGTGAAAGAAATACAATACTTGGCTAACAGACTTCGACTTGCACAACAGAAAGATGTGGAGTTGTTAATGAAAAGTAAAAAGAATCAACTATCGACTACAACTGGTTTACACCTCTTGTTAACAGCCTCAACTTGATCTGTCAGTCAGTCATAGGCAACGTGGAATCAGGTACAAATGTGCAGAGGTTCAAGTTGTAACAATATTACTGCAGTGAGATTAAATTACCGAGCCTCAACTAAAACGACAAGGCAGAGTCATGTACCGCTATAAATAGTAAATTTGACTAATAAACTAATGATCTGTTAATATTTGCAAATCTTATAGTACACATCGGTGATCTAGTACATAAACATGTGGAGCATTGTTGTTCACTAGTGATCTGGTTTCAATCTGTTTTCAGTAAACAAATAAATAAACATTTAAACAAAAAACGTATACTTACCCAACGAAATACATGAAATGATGAGAAAAGCGTTTGAGAAGTGAATACAGCTCTAGGCTTTTCTAAAAGATAAATTTGCAACTTTGCTGAAACGAGAATTTGATTTCTTTATGAATAGAAATGAAAAATGACATTCGGATTTACAATAGAAATGTACAACTAACCGATCGTACAGAAGGCGTATATATTTGCCAAAACGTGAACTATTTTCATTAAATTGAGTTTGTGCATTGCCTTAAAAAATCGATATTCAGAAAGCAATAATTTGCACAAAACATTTAAACGAATTACCAAGAGCTTCTAACACAGGATTCGATTGTATAAGTGTGTGTTCAATATAAGTTTCAACTTTTGCTCTGTCGAAAGTAAAATAAAATTTTAGTTTTTTTTAAATAAGCGTTTAAGACCAATATTACTGAGAATACGAAATTCGCAAAGTATGCTCCAAATAAAAACGACATCAACAGAAGGATCGGAAAACTTGTTCCTTACGTTAGAATTTTTCTTCAGTACACTCATAAGCCAGCATAAGATCGGACACATAACTGTTAGGTCTCAAAGAGGCGGGAATTATGAAGGAAATAAAGTGAATCTACATAAGTTTCGTATGACGTTTACAAATGTCTATGGATTAATTGATTGATTTGATTGTATTAGTACTTTTATCCAAGGTTATAGATACATATGTGGTGTGGCAACTCGAACTGATGTACGTACGTACGAAGTTCTAAGTTTTTACTGACTGACTGATAGATACATATTTTTTTACATAACTGAGTCAGTATTTTCCTTCAGTGAGTCAGTCAGCTACAATGTAGGACCAGGCACATATATGTATCGGTCCAGGTTGCCATATCTCATTAACACAACAAGATGAACACTGAATTCATAAAAGTAGTTAATTCAGAGGTGGTAATATATAAAAGAAAGATTGAATATAAGAATATAGTATAGGAAGAAAGAATTAGTTCGTAGGAAGAAAGATATGAAGCGATTTTAATCTCTTAGTTTAAGGGAAGATAGAGAGTGTATACACTGACGCCATTGTAATCGATTCTGAGCCGTCACCCACAGTCTCCAACCATTGGTTACGATAGTCACGCGGACCCCAACCAAGTAGTCTGCATCTACCAAAATGGCTCAGACTGGAAGTTAGTGACTCCAAGCACTGATGACACGTTTTGGTTTGGCCACCCCTAACTTCCTTCCAACCATCTCCAACACCGGTTAGCATTGCACGTCTTGGTAATCGGTGTTCAGGCATACGTAACACGTGGCCCAACCATCTCAGTTGACGAAGATTTACAGCCTCATCAACTGATTTACCATCATTCGCTAATACCCTGCGTCTAACCTCATCATTACTTACCCAGTGATCCCAGCAGATATTTCTAAGGTATCTGTGGTCAAATACTAGTAGCTTACGAGTGTCTTCTACTCTTAATGGCCATGTTTCGCTGCCGTAAGTTAAAACAGAACGGACTGCCGCGCAGTATACTCGTCCTTTTATTGATAGACGGATATCTCGCCTTCGCCACAGGTGACGAGATATCCGTCTATTAATAAAAAAACGAGTATACTGCGCGGTAGTCCGTTCTGTTTTAACTTACGGCAGTATTTGCCTTAGTAAACCTTGAAGAATATGTCATGTTATGATTGTTTTTAAACCTCTTTTTAATCGTTACGTTGAAAATGTCTACAATAAGTCCTAATATAAACCAACAAATCCATACTTTTTGTCAAATGCGGCTTCAAACAAAAACAGACGATACTCTACGTACTGGTTATCGTACATCGCATGAGTGGGGGGGGCAGTTAATATATGTTTGTGACTGACAGACTGTTCGGCCGACTTAACACTAAGTAAAAATGTGGAAAATAATCAGCTTACATTTGTTTCTGACGCTTTATACTACTTTTGTAGGTTAAGTAGCGTAAAATATGTTTAGTAGCTTCTGTTTTTCCAGACCCACTTGTGCCCGTAATAATTATCGACTGATTATTTTGTGTCGATGATAACTGATATAAACACTCTTCAGCCATAGAAAAAACGTGCGGCTTTCTCCAACAATCGGGAATCTAAGTAGATTATAACTAATACGAAAATCAAACAAATAACCTCATGAAAATCATTCCAATTATCACATGTGTAGTTTTGTGGACAGGCGCTTTTTGGATTGATTGATATCAGAATATTGGTTCCAAGCCATGTGTAAATTTCTGAACGTTCATATTTGTTTATCAGACTTTCAACAACTATCTGCAGGTGAACTGAGACCCGAAAAGAACAATCGGTTACCTTCAGTCACACTTGGTGTCGATAAATCTAGTAGATCAGCCGGTATAGTATTCCCAGTCATTAATAAAGATAATTCAGAAAACAAGCTGAAATATAAAAATATGAGTCTTAAATTTGTTTAAAATTATCACGTCATATCATAAAATTACCACAACATAGCCAAGGGTAGAAAGATCATAACATGCTACTAATCCATGAAATTATTGACTTAGACGAATTAGTCAGATGAGCTCGAGGTTGGGGCTTAGAAATCAATTCTAGGAAGAGTGTGCTAATGCATATCGGTCACGGTAATAGTTACCATTATAATATTGATGTTAAGCCTCTTCCATGCGTTCAAGAACATAAAGACTTAAGAGTAATAATAAGTTGTGACTTGAAAACAACTACGCATTGCAACGCAGCTGCTGTCAAAGGTTTTCGTGCGTTATGGTCACTTCGCCGAGCATTCAAATGCTTTGACGAGGAAATGTTTCTAATTTTATATCCCACCTATGTAAGACCACATTTAGAGTACTGTATTCAAGCAGCTTGTCCATGTTTGATAAAGGATACTAACTCACTTGAGCGTGTTCAACCTGTGGGAACAAAATTAGTGAAGGATCTTTCTAAACTCCCTTATGATGAGCGCTCAAAACGCCTAAACCTTTTCCACTTGTCGTATCGTAGGACACGGGGTGACCTTATACTGGCATGTCGTACCCTTAATTATGATTTGGGTGTTAAGATGTCTTATCTTTTCGCTTCCACCAGCAATAATAATCTCCGTCATAGTAAGACGGTTCACAAACCGAGATCTAATAAACTTAAAGTGGGGGCCCGTTTCTCTCATCGAGTAGTCAATGACTGGAACGCCTTGCCCGAACAAGCGGTATCAGCGCCGTCAGTGAATATTCCCAAGAAGCTGGACCTTCGCAGGAAGGCAATCTGTCAGGATGAACATAGGTTCACCAACCTAATATCCTTATTATTGAAGACTCTAGGCCTTACCCATGATCGTAAGAAGTGGAATTCCTGCTGAAACCTGTACGGTGCTTGTAATCAACGACTGGAGATGTTGGATTGCATGGTGTAAGTTTTATCACAGTGGAGAAGTTTCGCTTTCTCTAAACCCTGAGGTGAATGTCATTTCTAAATTTTTGCTGTGACCTTATTTGTCTCTTGTTTCCATATTACTTTATACTTGTAGTGGCAAATAAATTCCCAAAGTAAATAGTTCTGTAAGTCTTCAATAGTGATACTGACCTCATTAGTTTGACTGGATACACTCTAGCTCAAGGCACTCGGTAAAGCATTAGCACCAAATCACGACTGGGTATGCCGAGCTACACATTCCTTACAGCAACTAACCAACCTATATCAGACGCTTGTCAACTTTCCAAATATGTATCCAAACTCTATGTCTATATAAATCATCCCGGTTATTTATCGCAATCACTTCTATATGTCAGTATGTTCATAAAAAATTTATTAGGTATAACAACAATGTTTAAGAACAAGACCACACCATGCGGTGAACAACCTTTCAGGGATGCTTAAGTGGCCTTGAGGAAATACACTTACTAGGATCCGAAGAGGATAGTGAGTTAGTGTGAATAAGGATAAGTACTTATGATTGAAAGTTAGGGGTGCAAGTTAGGATTTTCACCACGAATTGATATTGACTATAATGCAAAAATGTTATTAGGCCATACAGACGAATGGATTCTGGGTCGAAATCTAAAACTTACAATCTTTAGCCTCATTGTTTTGTGCATACACAAGAGAAGTGTGAGCCAAAGAGTGACAAAGCGCACTAAATTTTAGTGACGAAAGTAGTTGACTACAATCTGCAGTAACGTAGAAGCAAAATTAAGACAATCTGATAACCGAAACTAGCTGATAGAGTACAGTTCAGAATCCGCTAAATTGATGCAGCTTGAAGGCAACGCTCCTAGGGTATCGTCCACTGATGGGGGTTGCGAGCACTTGAAGGTCAAACTGTCGCAAAATGATTGGTGCGTCACATCGACAATTCGTGAAAATTTTCGGAAGCGGTCAAATCAAGACATTTTTAGATATGAATTGAGTTCAGCCACATTATGTTTGATAACGTTCATTCTTCAAGTAACGAAGACGATTCCATCGTGATGAAGCATGATATAGGACGAATCTTCAATGATATTATGTTATCTCGAAGATTTACAAGTTGGGACAGTTTTGAGACCTGTTTGAAAGAAGTACATAAGGTAATATGACCTCTGTGGTTAATAATTATTTTTTTAGTATACGCATACTAAGTACGTTATGTCAGTATGCAAAAAGAATAATGATGATCCAACTCTAAAGTACCTTTTCGTGAGATATGTCACATTGTAATTAATTGAGTTTAGACACTAAAAATATCAATGACGTTTTACAGCGCGTTCAAGCAAATACTGAAGTTAAAGTATTCAATGAAAATGGGAACATGACTATGATTTGCTTCAGCCACAGAGAGCAAATAGCTGTTTACCTCACGTTCCTGGAGGTAATATGTTGTGGCGGTAAATAAATCCCCAAACTAAATAGCTCAATAGGTTTTCGACATTGGATGCTGGCCATATGTTTTAGTGGACTCATCTAGCTGAAGGCGCTCGGTCATGCATCCGCACCAGATCACGTGCTGTCACGCTGTGCTCAACAACAACCGTAATCACTAGCCAGATTAGATCAGAGATTCCCGATATATTGGTTATCGTCCAAATACACTCTTCCGATCTCCTCGACTCTGTCTTTTGATTTCTCTCGGTGGGAACAAAGCATATTAGAAGGTGCTACTGGTAGAAGCGTTGTCAAACACTGAATACCTGTATCATCATCAATGTATTGATTTGACTTATCAGACCAATAAAGTCGGGTAACGATTAGTAATAAATTTATCTGAAAGTTTTTCACTGTTCCAGCTAGTGGTGACTGATAGTCTTGGGCAAGGGCACACTGTTATTTATGCTCTTTGCAGTCAAGAACGACGCGAAGATGTCTAAAAACTATCAGAATGTTTTAACCATATAATGTACGGTACTTATGATACACGCACTTTCGTTATGGATTCGGCAGCGACCGAAATTTCGGCTGTGCAGTCTACGCACAGTCATTCTAACATAATACTTTGTTTATTCCATGCCCTGATAGCGTTTTTCAGGAAGGTATGTGTTAGCTGTACAAATTATCTGTAGTTCCGAAATCCTGATGTGCGCAAATGCTTGGAACACCTTGTGAAGGCTAGACGGTCTGATATGTGAGCTTCGCTTTTCATAGCGCATTATATTCAGATATACTCGAAAGTACGAACATCTAAGGACGCATTTCTCACGAGCGTATGACTACATAAAAGACTACTGGATTGCCAAGAAGTCAATGTGGGCTCGCTGTTACCGGCGACATGTATTAAGCCTGGGCAACCACACAAACAACCGTGTCGAAAATGCTCACAAACACCTAAAAGAACGTCTCAGAAGAGGTGATTCCCTGCTTTTGACGTTCTGAAAAATTTGGGGTAAAACAGACTGACCTATGCTTGCATCCATATGACGCTGTAAAAAATCTTCAACGTTTTCCATTTCTTTAGGTAAGAAATATAGTTAAATGTATCATGAATTCCAGGTTCCAATGTCATTTTGAATTCCTATGAGTGAGTTCACATCTTTTGCAGCTAAAATTGTATCTGTAAATTATAAACGTTTTAGGACAATGAGACACGGATTTATAGAAGGAGAATACATACGGTGCTACAACAAGTGTATGATGTATGTCGTTGATACTTCACATGCATGATGTGCTTGTGAGCGTTTCAGTGACAACATGCTGCCCTGTGGTCATATTCTGTATGCACATTCCAAAGATCTAATTCGTGGAGGTAAGAGTGTGTTCCCTTATCTCTATAAGCTTTGTAGACTTATTTCGACATAGCAGCCGGTGGAAATGGAAATACATAATGGACTTGGTTCTTCGTGCGCTGGACAACATGTCATTCTCTACAGGGAGTGTTGATCTGCTAGAGAAGTTCACTAACAACTACCACTCAGTCCATGCTCTTAGTGAACCTTTGGCAAGTAAACTCATCCGTTCATGCCTCGAAGCATCCGAAGACATGCGCACAAGGGATGAGTTCAATCGGTGCTAATGATGAAGCTACAACATCAGAATCCATTGTTAATACAGATCATAGCTATGCTTCTTGATAACAAGAAGTTCTAATATTGTAATCATTTTACTTTTACATAAATTCATTTATATGGCCATTGATTTATTCTTATAGCGTAACGGCAGGGAGTGTACTGTTCAGTCTTATGTGGCTGTGAGACAGGGATGTTGTTTCGCGTTCTTGTGTAATAATTACCAGTTTGGCGCACACGCGATTAGTCATACATACCGTTTACCAAATACTGCTACCTTGAACATGTAGTTCGAATTTCGACCTGTCACGATAGATAAGAATTGCCGTGATTAAAAGACTGGTGCGTTATAAATGAAAACGTTTATTAAAGTTTGAATCTAGCACAAATGATCCATCAATAAATAAATTCTATTTCTCAGGATTTGTTCCCGTTAGGTTTTTGAACGCTTGCGAAGCTAGCTGGAAATAAGATAGACAGGAAAGTTATTTCAGTATAAATGTTTATCAGAAACTAGTATAAAAACGGAAACCAGTATTCAATTACAGATCGAAAGTGCATTTAGCACATTCTTCCTTTGGATAGTCAATCACGCTTATTTCCTTTATCTCTTGCGTTGCTTAGGAACGTCTGGGTCACAACATACACGGATTGTATTATTCAATTCTTTGGACAGGTTGCACTTCGGAAACTTAGACGATATAAAGACTACTGTATATATATATAAAGACTACTGTGTGAATTTACTTTGAATCGTCCTGTGCAACCTGCAATTCTTGATGCATATTCTATTGCAGTCCCACGTAAGTTATGAGTAATTGTCATTAACGGCATCAGCACGTAAGCTAGACAGGCCTTGGTTGATTTCCGAAGATCATCACATAGGATCTCACACAATCTGGTCACCTTAGATCAAGATATCTTGACTATCGAATCGTAATTTTCAGTGCTTTCTCGTGACAGCTTTATATCAGTACTTATTTCTGATATTAGGTATTTTTGCAATAATACCGGCAGCCAAGATATTGAAGCTCCCCAGACAACCCAAAAAGGGGAAAACGCATCACAATGTCGCTTTTTTCGCCTGTCCGGGGGAAATAATGTGGATTTCCCCTTTCTTCGCCGTTTTGTCGATAAATTACTCACTTTTCGCATAAATATCTGCCAAATTACCGAATTTTCGCCTAACTGTCCGCATAATTGTCTACTTTTCGCCTGAATGTCCGCTGAATTGTTTACTTTTCGCCTAAATGCACACAGAACTCCCTGTTTTCCATCCATTGACATAAACCCAAAGGTCTCTTATGTTCGCCTTTATTTTTAACAACAGACCAAAATAAATCTGCAATACAGTGGAAAACCGGCATATTTTTGAAAATTTTTATTTAAAAGGTAAAGCGTATTATTGTACAACACTAGAGCAGAAGCTTAAGCATCGATTGTTTTGCATATCCAATGCAATTGCTAATTCATTGTTATGTGAAACTATCTGCAAAAGAAGAAACACGTGATGTATTATTTATAAGGAATGTGCATTTATTCAATTGTTCACTGACACTCAAACACACATTCTCAACACTTCTACAGCTTCCCATGTAAGTAAAAAAGTAAGCTGTTTGAAAAATAATATTTATTGAAATGTAAGTATAACATCAAAACAATTGCACGGCTATTGAGAATTAAGGTAGTCGTCCCGTGAATTCTGAATTTAAAAAAAGAAAAAAGTTACAACCATATCTCAATGACATGCTTTGATACAGCCAAATACATGTGTACATCTACACAAGAGGTAGTAATGCTATCTTAGCTTGGTCTCTGGTAAAACCTCCACATAATTATACCTCTACCGCACGATTATGATTTATTTCCTGCAATACAATCATCTGGTGGCTAATATATCTAACTGTAGGAGGCAATATTAACATCTTGGTATGTGTTATTATCATCTATAGCATATACATAATATTTACAACACTCAGGACACCTTATGTTTTCACTATAAACCTATTTCTGCCATAAAAGTCGAACAAAACAGTGAAAATCAGCGGAAATTGTGATAAAGATGGGAAAAACGATAAATCTTTACATGGTATCGTTATTTGTAACGCAGTTTTTGTAGCCTTGACGACAATACAATTTTTATGACGATATATGCCTGAATCTTGCTATTTCATATAAAATTAAAAGATTTGCCTACCATCAGTGCATACCTAACTAGAAACAATTGCTAATCTGCGATGCAAACACCGAAAAACTATTATAGCAGCACCTGAATAATGAATTTTCAAGGACTTCGCGATACCATGTAACGCAAAATGGAAAAACCCCTTTTTACCTAATTATGAAAACGGAAAATAAATTTTCAAATTTATTCATAATGTATTTCAAAATTTGGTTGTGCACAAAGCAGAAATAAAGAAGTAACGCAAAAAAGTGTCGCGATACCCCTGGAGCGCTGCCCAGCTTGAACATCGCGACCCATTGTAAAGACCGCGTTCCGTATTACTAACCAGTTGATACCTGTGACAAACTTCTGTCTTCAGTAGTAAAGTTGAAAGGTTGATAGACCTACATTAATCCTTGATATTTGTAGTACTTTGAAGATCCAATCTCACCGACCCGTTAGCTTAACTAGTGTGGTTGTTAAAATCTTAGAAAAGATTATTCGGAAGGAGCTGTTTAAGCACCTCGATGAAAACTGGATCCTTTAGGAGAAACAGCACGGTTTCAGGATAGATTATTCTTTTGGGGCCAATGCTATTCCTCTTGTATGTGAATGACCTTCCTCGTCTCCTATCATCATCGGTCTTGCTATGTGCTGACGATGTCAAGATATGGAGAACGATGCGATATAAGAGTGATAGCTTAGAACTTCAAAATGACCTGAAGAAGTTATCTGAGTAGTCTCGAACTTGGCAGTTGCCGATAAATACTTCCAAGTGTGTTGTGATGCATATCGGTCATCAAGGTACAGATACATACACGATGAATAACACTGAGCTACCTGTCGTCCAAACATATAATGACTTAGGAGTTATCGTTAGCCAAGGTCTAAAGACTACTGCACACTGCCGTGTAATAAAAGCCAAAGGTTTTAGAACCTTATGGTCAATACGTTGGG